GTGGGGGCAGGTGTAGCACTTCCTGCGGTTGCAGGGAAAAGTGCCAGGTGTGGTGGGGCTGGACGGGAGTGTGGAGCGGACAAAGGAGTCATGGAGAGAGTGGTCCCTCCGGAAAGCAGATAAGGGTGGAAGGGAAAAATGTCTTTGGTGGTGGGGTCGGATTGCAGATGGCGGAAGTGTTGGAGGATGATGCGTTGGATCCGGAGGTTGGTGGGGTGGTACGTGAGGGCGAGGGGGATTCTTTTTTGGTTGTTATTGCGGGGACGGGGTGTGAGGGATGAGTTGCAGGAAAAGCGGGAGACACGGTCGAGGGTGTTCTCGACCACTGAGGGGGGGATGTTGCGGCCCTTGAAAAACGAGGACATCTGAGATGTACGGGAGTGGAATGCCTCATCCTGGGAGCAGATGAGGCGGAGGCAAAGGAATTGGGAATAGGGGATGGCATTTTTGCAGGAAGGTGGGTGGGAGGAGGTGTATTCTAGGTAGCTGTGGGAGTCGGTGGGCTTGAAATGGATATCGGTTTCTAGGCCCGAGATGGAGACAGAGAGGTCCAGGAAGGAGAGAAAGGTATTAGAGATGGTCCAGGTGAACTTAAGGTTGGGGTGGAAGGTGTTGGTGAAGTGGATGAACTGTTTGAGCTCCTCGTGGGAGCACGAGGCGGCGCTGATACAGTCGTCAATGTAACGGAGGAAGAGATGGGGTTTTGGGCCAGTGTAGGTACGGAAGAGGGATTGTTCCACGTAACCTACAAAGAGGCAGGCATAGCTTGGGCCCATGCAGGTACCCATGGCCACCCACTTTGTCTGTAGGAAGGGAGGAATTGAAAGAGAAGTTGTTGAGGGCGAGGACGAGTTCGGCTAAGCGGATGAAGGTATCAGTGGAGGGAGACTGGTCAGGCCTGCGGGACAGGAAAAAGCGGAGGGCCTTTAGGCCATCTGTATGGGGAATGCAGGTGTATAGGGACTGGACGTCCATGGTAAAGATGAGGTGTTGGGGACCGGGGAATTGGAAGTTCTGGAGGAGGTGGAGGGCGTGGGTGGTGTCACGGACATAGGTAGGGAGTTCCTGGACCAAGGGGGAGAAAATGGAGCCTTCCTGCTCCTGTGATGCTGCTTGGCCTGCTGTGTTCATCCAGCTCTACACCTTGTTATCTCATGTTCACTTTGACCTCTCTCTTCCTTTTTATATATTTAAAGAAGCTCTTATTGCCAGTTTTATTATTCCCTGCTAAATTACAATATATTATCACATGCACAAAAAGTAGTAAAGCTGATTGAAATAGAATTAAAACTTTAAGATGACATTTAGGTAGAAAAATATAAGTTCAGGATTATTCTCAACACAGTATGCAGGTCCATTTAAAGGGTTTACAAGGATCATTAAATTTCTGAAAAGGTTCAAGATACATACCAAGGCTCAGAGCCGAAGCCATACCAAGCCAACTGTAACATCTGAAATCCTAACCCCAACAGAATAGTGTTTTTGTTCCCAATGGATCGCATGAGCAAACTCAGGACCGCTGTCTGAAACAGAAATGCAGTTAACATTTAAGTTTGCTTTGAAGGTCAACAGTTTCAGCTTATTAATTTTTTCCAATGCTCTATCTGCACAGGAATAGAATGGAGAATACTATTCATGAGTGAAAAGGGAAAAAAAAAAGGTTGGGAACAAAGCAAAGGCATTGTTGAGAAGAGTATTTTTCAAATGTTTGAAAAGTCGGGTGATAAAAGGTATCAAAGCTAGCGTTTCAAAGAGAAAATGCGTAGTAGCTGAAGACATGACTGATGTTGCTGCAAAGAAAAAGGAAATGAGGTATATCCTAATATCTAAACAACAGAATATCCATGCAAGAACTTGTGGCTGCGGCAAATTACTACATTGGAATGGGGGGAGGCTAGGTGAAGCATAGAGTGATTATAAAAATAACAATTGGATCTGGAGGTCAATTTGCCCTGATTTGGGAACCAGTATTTGAAGATATTGTATTATAGTGATTATGTACCGAGCTAGTAATTTTGGAATGCTAGATATCTTTAGCTGCTGCACCTGGATCATCATCAAAGAATTACGACAGTCAAAACTTGACCTTGCATTTACATAACAATTTGTAAGAAATATAGTAAAGAGAAAACAACATCTGTACAATATGCAATGCATTGTATAATGTATTAATGTTGTTTTCCCCTTATTTTGATATTTCTTAGAAATTATCTTGATGAACGCAAGTTGAAAAGCTTTGATAAAGTAGATCTTTTATATCCAAATAGTCATTTAGCAGCATAGAACTTGATTATTGCTGAAAACAAAGACATTTTGCCAAAGCTTTTGTCTTGCACTCAACAGGACAATTCTCAAGAATACCAATTCAAGCAGAAAAATCAACATTTATACTACATGCAAGGACAGTGCTGATTGATTAGCAGGTGAACTCTGCCTGATAGAGGCATTGCGCTGGAGATGACCACAGCAGATGCACTGAAACACCGACATCTGCAAGTACTTCTCCAAGCCACCTAATCCTGACTTGGAACTATATTGCTGTTTCTTCACTGTGGCTGGATCACAATCCTCAAACTGCCTTCTAACATACTTAGGTGAACTTGCTTTCGCTGTAAACAAGGTCATAAATTGTACCAATATCGTATAAGAGCCAGCTTCCTGAAAAGACTTAGCACATATACCAACACTGTCTGGAGTAAACAGTGGTGCGAGGAGGAGAGAAGAGAGAGGATTCTTTAAGTACCATATGAGGCTGCAATTGGATGCTTACTTGTGCAATGATGGACAGGATTCCAAGGACAGCAATAAAGGCTGTTACACTTTCTGATGAAAATCTCATGACCTATTAAGAAAATAAGTAGCTGTAATCTTCAAGTTGACAAATTTATATTGTATTAACTATTGTAAAGACTTTATTTTTAAATCATAGACTGTAGTGAGATAACAGTTCTAAAACCAAGGATTGCTACATGTTTTGAAAGCAAATAACCTGACACTCATTGAGTACACAGTTGCCAGTTCCAGCAGTAATTGACAGTTTGCAGATGAGCTGGAGTCAAAAAGGTCGAAAACAGAAACAGCTGGAAAAGCCTGGAAAAGCTCAGAAGGTCTGGCAGCATCTGTGTAGAGAAATCAGAGTTAACGTTTCAGGTCCAGGGACCTTTCCTCAGAAGGAGCCAAAGGATTATGTACAAATGGATCTTTGATTGGCAACAAATAGCTAATTGGTTTGTGGACTAGTGACTAGTCATTGATGCCAAATGCCTTCTGCCTGCAACAACTATACGATAAGTTTTCAGGTAATTGAACAGCTTGGGGGCTGTGAACAATATATAGACACCTTCAGACTTCCTCCAGCAGTTATTGTAAGTCATGAATTCTAATCAACAAGTCAAACATTTTCTAAGTGTGAACCAGCCCCGTACCCGAAACCATTGAAAACCTTGGAGAAGGAAGATCAAGAAACAGTGTTCTGATCAGCACAAGAACAATCTCAGCAGATCCTGTGAACAGAGACCACTGCACTGTGTTCCAGTTCAGTGAAAAACCCATGTATGTTCTTCCTGTGTGTGTGCATGCGTGCGCACGCGTATAAGAGGACGTTTATAAGGAGATTAGAGTTTTAACTGGTAGAGTTAAAACTAGTGGTGTACCTGATGGTACACAACTGTTAGCTGTAGACACAACTTTATTTATTTGAAATAAATATTAATTTTTGTTAAGTACAAAAACGTGGTCCATGCTGTCAACCTGGGTCTGAAATTGTGTAAATTGGGGAATTCTGCATACTTTATTTTAAAAAGAAACTTTAACTTTCGCTATGATGGAAGCAAGGGAACTTGGAAATAAATAGTGATGAGGAGGTGCTGGTGGTTTTAAAATGCATAAAGATGGATAAATCTCCAGGACCCGATCAGGTGTTTCTCAGAGCTGTGGGTAGCGACAGAAGAGATTGCTAGGCCCTTTGTTCAGATATTTGTATCACTGACAGCCATGGATGAGTTGCCGGAAGACCGGAGGGTGGCTAATGTGGTGCCATTATTTAAGAAAGGCTGCAAGTAAAAGCCAGGGAACTAAAGACTGGTGAGCCTTATGATAATGGTGGATAAGTTGTTGGAGGGGATTCTGAGGGACAGGATTTACATGCACTTGAAAAGGCAAGGACTGATTAGGGGTAGTCAACATGGCTTTGTGTGTGGGAAATTGTGTCTTGCTAACTTGATTGTACTTTTTTGAAAAGGTGACAAAGGTTGATGAATGCAGAGCAGTCAACGTTGTTTATGTGAGTTTCAGCAAAAGGTTTGGCAAGGTTCGCATGTTGGACTGGTTAGTAAGGTTAGATCACAGGGTACCTGGGGGAGCTAGCCAATTGGTTTTAAAGCAGGAAACATAGGGTGGCGGTAGAAGGTTGCTGTTTGGACTGGGGGCATGTAACCAGTGGTGTGCTTTTCATCATTTATATAAAATGATTTGAATATGAATGCAGGAGGTATGTATGGTTAGTAAGTTTGTAGGTGACACCAAAGTTGGTGGTGTCGTGGACTGTAAAGAAGATTATCTCATAGTACAACGGGACCTTGATGAGATGGGCCAATGGGGCAAGGAGTGGCTGATAGAGTTTAATTCAGATAAATGTGAGGTATTACATTTTGGTAAGACAAATTAGGGCAGGACTTAATCAATTAACGGTAGGGGCCTGGGGAGTGTGGCCGAACAAAGAGACCTAGGAGTGCAGGTGCATGGTTCCTTAAAAGTGGAGTCACAGGTAGACAGAGTGCTGAAGATGTTTAGCACATTTGCCTTCATTGGTAAGAATATGGAGTACAGGAGTTGGGAAGTCATGTTGCGGCTGTACTGGACATTGGTGAGGCCGCTTTTAGAATACGTACAATTCTGGTCGCCGTTCTATAAGAAAGATGTTGTTGAACTTGAGAGGGTGCAGAAAAGATTGATAAGGACGTTGTCTGGACCAGAAGGTTTGAGTTACAGGGCGAGGCTGAATCAGCTGGTGCTTTTTTCCCTTGGTATGTCGGAGGCTGAAGGTTGACCTTAAAGCAGTTTATAAAATAATGAGGGGCATGGATAGGGTGAATAGCCAAGGTCTTTTTCCTAGAGAGGGGGAGTCTAAAACTAGAAGGCATAGGTTTAAGGTGACGGTAGAGAGTTAAAAAGGATCTGAGGGGAAACTTTTTCATACAGAGAATGGTACATGTATGGAATGAGCTACCAGAGGAAGTGGCAGTACTGGGTACAATTACAACATTTAAAAGGCAGCTGGATGGGTATATCAGTAGCAAGGGTTTAGAGGTATATGGGCCAAATGCTGGAAAATGGGACTAGGCCAAATTGGGATGACTGGCCTGCATGGACAAGTTGGACTGGAGGGTTTGTTTCTGTGCTGGATGACTATGACTCTGGGAATAGCAGTGCTTGGTTTACAGTGTGACACAAATTTGATAAAATAATAAAATGGCAGTTTTGCTAATCCTTTTGACTCAACTGCTCATTATAGATTATTTTGGGATTTCTTTTTGCAAAATAATATTAATAAAGTGAACATAATCGCCTGAGACCAATACTGTTTGAAAGATATTACATTCTGGTTATTTGTACAAACACAAATAGAATACATGTAGTAAGGGGCATCTAAAATTAAAGAATTAACTTTGGTTTTAAAAATTATAACAGCAAAGATGTAGGCAGGCTAATAAATGACATTACGTATACAATAGGAAAGACCAAAGTACGAGTTCCAATTATGCTGAAGCCCACCAAAGCACGTTCCCAACTTTGAAAGTGAGTACTATGTTTTTCATACAAAGTGTGAATTCATTTGGAGTACAATAAATGCTTCTTGAATAATGTAATGTGGATACATGTCTTAATTAATTTAAAATACAAATTTTAAAAATATGGCACCACACATTCAGCAGAAATTTGTTGGAGTAATCTATAACAAAGTAATCTTCAACCTGTCAGTCGCCTGCTCTAAATTCAAGATGCACAAAATGGCTTTAATGAAGTTATTATTGAGGGGAAAGAGAAACAGAGTTAATGTTGAGCCCAGTATGATGATTGTTCAGAACTGAAGATTCAAATTGCACTCAATGTTAACTCTGTTGCTCTCTCCACAAATGCTGCCAGACCTGCTGAATTTGTCCAGCACTCTGCTTTTATTTCAGATTCCAGCATCTGCATTATTTTGATTTTATTACTGAAGGGTTTTAGCAGGGAAAAGTGGAAAGGATGTTTCCTCTTGTGGGAAAATCTAGAACAAGTGTCACTGTTTAAAAATCAGGAGTCACCCATTTAAAACAGAAACAGGTGAATTCCTCAGACGTTTGAGTGTCTTTGGAACTGTCTTCCTGAGAAAGTGGTGGAAGCAGAGTACTGAATATTTTCAAAGGCAATGGGAGATAGATTTCTGTTAAGCAAGGGGTTTAAAGATTAACCAGGATAGGAGGGATTGTAGATTACATTCAAATCAGCCACAATCTTACTGAATGGCGAGTATGCTGAAGGGACATGGCCTACTGTTGCTCCCAATTCATTAGTTCTTATGAACAAACTGACTGAACTGTGATCTAAAATTTATGAAATCTATGGCAGTTTCCCAGAAGTTGTTCATACCTGTCTGAGGTAAAGAAAAAAACTGGAATATTGGCCCGCCTCTGGAAGGTAGGATAGGAAAACCGTAATACAGATCAGTAAAACTGTTGAATCTTGGCCAACTTTCTTGAGAGACTGCAGGTTTAAAAAAAAGTTACACGCATGACCATCAATAGTACATTCACATCAGAGCTGTCAGAATTTTTTCTTCCTGATTTTGAAAACTAATTAGTTTTGACAATACATGTAGCTGGTGCAAGGTAAATACAACAATCTGTTACAATGAATCATGAAATCCATTTGGATACAAAATTGTATTGAAGTTGGAGACAGAGGGCGGTGGTAGAGAGTTGCTTTTCGGAATGGAGGCCTATGACCAGTGGTGTGCCACCAAAATTGGTACTGGGTCCACTGTTTTTTGTCTTTTATGTAAATGATTTTGGATAGGAATATAGAAGGAATGATTAATAAGTTTGCAGATGACACCAAAATTGGTGGTGTAGTGAACAGTGAAGAACGTTATCTCAGAGTACAATGGGACCTTGAAACGATGGGCTGAGGAATGGCAGGTGGAGTTTACTTCAGATAAATGAGAAGTGTTGCATTTTGGAAAGACAAATCAAGGCAGGACTTATACACTTAATGGTAAGGTTCTGGGGAGTGTTGCCAAACAAAGAGACCTGAGGTGCAGGTTCATAGTTCGTTGAAGGTGGAGTCTTAGATAGACAGGGTAGTGAAGGCGGCGTTTGGTACACTTGCCTTTATTGGTCAGTGCATTGAGTATAGGAGTTGGGATGTCATGTTGTGGCTGTACAGGACTTTGGTTAGGCCACTTTTGTAGAAAAGACATTAAACTTGAGAAGGTGCAGAAGAGATATACAAGGATGTTGCTGCAGTTGGAGGGTTTGAGCTATAAGGAGAGGCTGAATAGGCTGGGGTTTTTCTCCCCTGGAATGTCAGAGGCCAAGGGGTGACCTTATAGAGGTGTATAAAATCATGAGGGTCAATAGCCAAGGTCTTTTTCCCAGGGTAAGGGAGTCTAAAACTAGAGGACATAGGTTTAAAGGTGAGAGAGAAAAGATATACAAGGGACATATGGGGCAACTTTTCATGAAAGGAGTGGTGCGTGTATGGAATGAACTGCCAGAGGAAGTGGAGGTTGATACAATTATAACATTTAAAAGGCATCTGGACAGGTATATGAATAGGAAGGGTTTGGAGAGATATGGGCCAAATGCTGGCAAATGGGACTAGATTAATTTAGGGTATCTGATCGGCATGGACGAGTTGGACCGAAGGGTCTGTTTCCATGCTGTACAACTCTATCATTCTAAGTAAAGAGAAAGATTACTTCAGTATTGCAGGATGAGGTCTTTTTCAGCTGTGCAATTTCATACTTTTGGATAAATTTGGACATACAAAAGCAGTGTCCTTATTAACTAAGCAGAACTGTCCTTCTCAACAGTTCAATTATCAGATTGAAAATGGTCAAATGAACATTAAATTTTCTACACATATTTGATACAAGTGAAAAGTATTTATGAATACAGAAATAATTCCACATGCAGAAAATAGTGGCTCCAGTTAAAGTTGTGAGCAAATACAATCAATAAACTAGTTAAAAATTTAAATTGAAAGAAGTTAAATGTTAGAAAATACATTTGAAGTGTTCACAGATACTCATCAGAAAACCTACAACATATAATATAAAGTCCATGCCACACATACCGCGAATGGATCAGCTTGCTCCCAGGAGATGGGAGCTCCCCAAGAGGCAGGTCGCATTTTTTCAGGGAGAGATTCCGGTAAAGCCACCAATATAAAGCAGATATCCAGAAGAGCAATTGCTGTAGCAAGAATAACTACAAGACTGTCCCCATAAATTCGACCGAGATATGCACCAATGGCTGGGCTGGTAACCAAGCTTGCAGCAAATGTGGCCGAAACCTAGCAATCATGAAGATTATAACAATTACTACAGTTCAAAAAGTTGAATATATTGTGAGAGAAAGAAAGTAAAGAGAACTGCACATGCTGGAGTTTTTAAAAAAGTTATTTTCACCACAGCAAAAAACTATAAACTGAAAGACCGCTTCCCTTTGCTTGTAGTCAATTCTTCAGAGGAAATAAAATGCAAGGCAACAAAAAACAAAATAATGTGGGCTGGAAATTATAAAATAGTAATAGTAATAGTAATAGAAATACTTAGCAGGTCAAAAATGTCACCAACAGCTGTGTCCAAAAAAGAATTGGGAACAGGGGTTGTGATGTGCCTAATCAAAAGGTGACATGCTAAGTCTTGAATTTACATTGAATTTCACTAGAACTGTGTAGCAGGCTGAAGATAAAGAGATCAGAGTGGGAATCGGATGGAAACTTGCCACCCTTTTGGACAGTAGCAGTGTCTTTGCATTTTAAAAACAGAGAATGCAGAAAATATTCAACAAATAAGCTTGCATCTACAAGGAGAGAAACAGAGTTTGTTTTACTAAAATACAACAAAGAACTGAGGACACTGAAGAAGGGTCACTGGACTTGAAACATTCATTCTGCTTTCTCTCCACAAATGCTGCCAGAAGAGCTGAATTTCTCTAGCAATTTCTGTTTTCTGCTTTACCCATTTATACCTTCTCTAGATGCATCTCCAATTTGATTATGCGCTCCATTATAATCACCTCATTTGTTACTTAATTTCTCCTTTTTTCCACTTTATTCCAGACCTTCCCTTTTGTTCTTCTCCTTCCACTGTCCTTGTTTCTGTAATTTGTGTAAAACTTGTTACATTTCTCAACTATTTCCAGTTCTGCTGACACATTATCAACTTGAACTTTAGCTCTGCTTTTCTGTGTATTAATGCAGTCTTATTTGTTGAGTATTTTCTATTTCTCTGTTTTTAAAGCGTAGAGGCCTTTTTTTTTGTAAATAGGATATTGTTCCAAATAAAACTCAAACAAAATCATCTCCTCTGTTTATAAAGAAAACAAAATACAGAATAAGATGCTCAGCACGGGTCAAACAAAGCAAAGCCGGTGAACAATCCAGTCCAATCTGTATGGGTGTGTCAGGTATGGGACAGAATGAGTGGCAAAAGCATAAAGTTTGTAGCAAAAGCTGAAGAGGACACATTCAATGCTTCCAATGATAACTACATCCAAAAATGAATGTGAAACAAGAAGTGGATGTGTTTAGAGAGGTGGCTGAGAGATAGCACTGGATGACATCAGAATCTATGCAGAAAGGGACCCATTGTCTATGGATGATGTTGCAAAGTAGCAGCATGTAGACAAGGAAAAGAAAGGATCAAGGAATGAGCAATTGGTGTACAGTGGAAAGAAAAACTAGTACTGGAGTCTCTTTGCCTATGATCAGATAAGCAGGAATGGAATCAGACAGTTGGGTGCTAAAGAGATGAGCAACGGCAATGGTTTTGCATAAGGACCCATAATTGAAAGTTACCTACAGGTCGAGGATCACGCTTGGTGGAGTGAATAGCTGCAAGGTGAATGGCTGCAAAGTAAACGCATGATGGTTACAATCACAGGAGGTCATGCGTGACTTTATTTCAGGCATTTGGTTCTGTGGGATGGGTCAGAAACCTGATTGGAGAGATTCAAACTTGTTGGAAAAATGGTCATATCTCAAGGATTTTGGAAAACTTAAATAAAAAAGGAGAAAAGTAGTAATTTAGTCCAATGTAATTAAGTTATTGAGGAATATACCACATGACCAATGGTACAGGAGACAGAGCTTCATTAGGTATGGTATGTATATACTACTCAAATGAAGATGTTTAGTCACATCAATGAAAGTCATCACAGAGCTCCACATATATTAAAATATGATATAAATTATCTAAACTAAATCTCCAGGTTTTCCAGTATTCTAAAATGACTTTTCCAGCTATCAACGGTGTCCTGAAATAAATTAATTGGGACAAGGGGAGGCAATGGCCTAGTAGTATTATCGCTGGACTATTAACATTCTGGGTATGAATCCCAGCACAGCAGATGATGGAATTTGAATTCAATAAAAAAAAAATCTGGAATTAAGAGTTTAGTGATAACCATGAATCCATTGCCAATTGTCAGAAAAACCCATCTGGTTCACTAACGTCCTCTCGGGAAGGAAACTGCCATCCTTACCTGGTCTGGCCTACATGTGGCTCCAGACTCTCAGCAATCTGGTTGACTGTCAACTGCCCTCTGGGCAATTAGGGATGTGCAATAAATGCTACCTAAAAGAGATGCCCTCATGCCACGAATGAATAAAGGAAAAAAAACAGCATGGTGGGGGAGTCTGTCCGTAGTTCATGCTGGAACATTCCTGGCTCCAAGTCAGAATACTCCAAATTAGAGTCCTATTCCAAGACTTGTTTGGCCATTGATGAACCCAGCCACTGGGGCTGGCAGGCTAATGTGTACTGGTGCCTGTCCCCAGCCTGGATATATAGTGAGGTTTAATGGCAGGATGGGCACCCAGCTGTAAAATAAAAACCTGCCAAATCCAAAAGTAATGGTTGATATGAATGGTTATGGAGAAGACTGACCACAGGTAACATGGGAAAAAAAAATCTGAAAAAAAGATGGAAAATATCAAACAGCTTTACTTTACTTACCAATCCATAGGCCATACTTCTTTCATGCTCCTGAGTTATGTCAGCTACATAAGCAAATACCACAGAGAAGGTCACTGCAAATACCCCTGACACAGAGATAACTGCAAAATACCACCTGAGGGGAAAAATATGCAATCAGAAATAATTTTGTACAGGAGAAAAAAAATACACGGTTCACACTTTTGGAAGAACTTAATCCTTCTCCACATTAGATCTCATTACTAAAACTTTCCTACTAACATTTGGAATGCTGCCTGGGGCATCCTACGCATTCAGTAAGTTTTAATGAATGATTTTTTTCCTAAACCTCAAAACAATTACAAATGACCAGTCTTTGAAAAACGTAAGTGTTGGACATAAAACTGTATCTTTTCAAACTAAATGCTTATATCCTCAACCTGTGCCTCATGCTGAATAGGAAACAAAAAAAAAAGATAACCTTGTATTTTTTAAAAATATTTTGATTGAGATAACTACTAGTGAAGAAAAACAGAAAAGGGGTATTCACAATAAGATAAATGGGTTGCATTGTAAAGATTTGATGTTACTTCATATACAAATCAAATTTAATCCTCCTCTGATTTGGAATCTCCAATAGCATTTCCTTAGCTTGGAAATGAGAAGGATCCAGTCATAAGTAACCAAGAACTTTTAACTAGATATCTATACAGCTACCTTAATCACAGAATCCCTACAGTGCAAATAGAGGCCACTTAGGCCCATAAGGTCTGCACTGCCCCTTCAAAGAGCATCCAAACCTATTCTAATAATGCCACATGTGATTTTACCCCATTGCTAAACCACCTAATCTGCAAAGTCCTGGACACCATAGGTCAATTTAGTAAGGCCAATCCACCTAACCTGCATATCTTTGGATTTCCAACTAGATAGTTGGTTAGCTAGTAATTTTCTCATTTGTACATAAACAAATATATACCTACCATGGACTAATCTTCATTAAAGGAATAGGAGCACAGGTGAAAAAGACAGTAAGCAACAGAAAAGACTTCCGCCCCCACACATCTGAAAGTGCACCTATCAGTGGCGCACTCAGGAATGACAATAATCCCTGTAGAAAAAGAAAGTTCTCATTTAACTTTATCCTGCGTTATGCAAGTTAAATTGTACTCAATGACTTACATCACTGCATTGATGCAGTAGCATCAATGAAAGTCGTTAGAGTTCGACATATATTACAATATCACATGGATTATCTAAACAAAGTCTCTTGTTTATCATTAAATAACATTCTGAAATTACTTTTCAACAGTGTCCTGAAATAAACTAGTTAGAACAACAAAAAGAAAACCAGCATGATGAGGAACGTTCCATTCAAACTTACTACTTCATTAATAGTAGAAAAGTGCTCATCAAAAGTAAAAACAAATTTATGTATACAATTACTCAGCCAGAAGACTAGAATATTACATTATTCATGGAGTATTATCTTTGATTTTTGTGCCTAAGCCTAGAGTGAAAATTTAACCTGGAACCTTGTAATTCAGAAGTGAGTGTGCTTCCAACTGAGCCATAGGTGACACACGGAAAAGTAGTCACTGCTCCAAGATCATTTATTGTATGTTAAGTGTTTTTGAAACGTTCCTAAAGGTTGTTAAAGGCACTTTGTAACTGCAGGTCTTTTTTTGTTAAGTTGTCCTGACACATACATCATTTTCTTACTGGAGGAGCGAGGATGCTGAATTACTTCAAAAGAACTTCGGGCGCACAAGCAAAATACAAAGCTTCAAGTTTGTCATATGAACATTAGTGGGAGGAAACTTCTTGGAGTTAAACTAAATTTAATTAAGAGGTGATCTTTTTTCATATATGTATGTATGCATCAAATAATTAATTGAAATCATTGATAAGTATCCGTCAGCAGGAAGATAGCTCACATAGATCTGTGGAATGGAGCAAACAATGTCAAGTAACACTTAACTTGGATAACTGTGGTATTATATGTACGCTGGTTGGGCCAACTTGGTATACACTTGCAGGAATTATATTACTGTGCAGATCAGTGTAGGTTCATGAACAATATAGCTAGATAGTGTAGCTAAAGGTAACAAGGTAATAGGTTCTTTTAACGTAATTCTTCAGTGTAAATCAAGGGCAAAAATTTTGTCACTATCAAGATCACTGTCAGCCAACTCCTACAGTACTGCATGCATTTTGGGCCTCCAATATGGTGGGTGATGTTGTGTAAGGGATTCAAAGTCCTGAAACAGCCTTGCTATGATGTCATGGAGCCACATATCACCGAGAATGAATAACAGAATGTGGGCAGAGTTAGGACAGACAAAAGCACACGTACTCGAGAATGAGAGAGAGACAGACAGACAGACAGACAGGCAGACAGAGTCTTGAATGCATACGGACATGAACACTCCAGATCAGAACCTGGTATATCTATGCTTACCATGTATAGCAATATTTAGCATTAAATGTAGAACAAACAATGTTACTTTGAAGTTTAAGCATGAAGACAGTTCTTGACTTCACCTTCTCCATGACCAGTCTGTCATGAACCCAAAATCAGTGTGGCATCAAAGTAAATGATAAAAGAGACAATTAAGTGGCTTTGGAGCTACAAGAATGATTCCTAGTTTGAAAAATCTCAGCTACTTAAAATAGAATTGTGGACCTTGGTCTATTTACTTTAGAGCAGCATACGCCTAAAGGTGATGTAATAGAGATCTACAGAACAATAGAAGAGCTGAATATTGTCTCAATTCTTAGGTTACTGAAGTTTAACATATGGATAGAATGAGGAACAAGAGATTTAACTGTGCAAAGTAGGAATGGACTGTATTTTTGATTGGAGGTGGTGAGGAAGTGTCTAGTCATGATGCAACAACCATTGTAATGTGATGGATCAGCTAATTTCTTCATGCCTGTCAGTTCTGTATGTTAGCAAGTGGGTTCCAGCTTCTTATAAAACAATGAAAATATTTCAAGGAACACTTTAACAACTGCCTAAAAACTTACAGAAATTCTTACCTTAACTCCCTGAATTAAGCCATTCATCAAAAACGTATGCTTGGGAAATGTCTCATGCAAGACCTAGGAAATAAAATAAATTTCTGTTGCAAGTAAATCCAAAATTTGCAACAAGTTTATTATTACCCATGGGTGAGATACCTTCAATTACATTTGAAGAACCGCTATCCTTCCTTCTTCCTTTGTGCATGAATCTACACCAGAAAAGTCAGGGGCTTGAGTTAGTACGTTGAGTTAGCAAGCCCAGGTAATGCAGTGGCTTTGGTGCACCACGACTGGCTTTTGTATGAATCAATGTACATAAGAAAAAGACCTACAGATCTGCAAGCCTAAGTTCACTAATACATGATTCTTTACACAACAGCAATCTAACAAGTTATTCTGTTAAACAGCCTACAGAAATGAATCTGATATCATTAATCATTAATGCAACTAACTAATGTGAAACAGTTGCAGGGCAAACTAGCCCAAAATGTAGTCCTGTGGTGAGATTCAGCAAGATAGCTCACCCTTGGTACATCCGAAAGAGCAATTAGGAAGGGGCAAGACCTTCCCAAGACCTTTCTTGCCAGCAATATCTATGTCCCATGAAGGATTACAAAACAAAATTAACAGGAGGAAAATACTGTTTGCAGCTACTGAAAAAATGCCGTTTTAGCAAGAACTGAGTGACGCAGTGGGTTATAATCTGGCCTTTTAGCTCTAAGACTCTAGTTTAAATACAGCACAGACAGGATGAAATTCTCCAATATCTGCAACAGTCATACACAAGTTGAGATTGGGTAGCTTCAATGAATCCCTAATTTGGCATTTGTTGGTAATGTTAATTAGACTAGGCCAAAGATTGTTGAGGGGAAACCAAATCTCTAGTGTGGAAGCAGCCTCACTACATGGACAAATGAGGTTTGATGAGAATCTTCACTCTGTCCTGTTGTCAAACCGCAGTTCCTTTCACTCCCTGAACAAAGAAACACACCTTGTTGATCTGTTTAACTGTGAAGCTTTCATGAATGCACTGAATCATACTGTGCAATAGCTTAAAAAAGATTAATTGTACTTGTTCATTCCATTTTGCTAGCTGACTAAAAATATAGCGATCTATGATGTTAATTTTTAGCTTCCACTCTATGCAAACAAGGCAAGATGATAGATATTACTTACCACCAGTGTCGGTGCAGTCAGAAGACCCCAAGCAAAGAATTCCAGAAATATTACTATCACAGCATGGTATACACTTGGTGCACCTATTCCTTGAGGCTGTGAAAAAAGTTGTAATTAAACCACTGGAGTTTATTCTCAATCTTGAGATTAACTTGCCCACTCAACATCTGAACCAGCAACCATTCGTGTATAGCAAACATTCTTTTAACTGGAATCCCTGATAAACCAGTAAAAACGTTATATCCCTAAATACCAAAAGTCTTAACGTAATCTCCACAATGTCCAAATAGTCAGTTGAGGGTGCAAGTGAGCAGGCTCTCTACCAATAAGTTTTATTTAAGGCAAAGTTGCATTATTGTTTAAGTGATTCAAATTGTAAATAAAGTATAACAATGATCTGTTTATCCCCTGAATTACTTTTCTATTACTTGGTGTGTGTTTTTACATTGATTATGTGGACCTCTTGATCAAGCAGTATATTTGATCAACTGGTACACTCCTGGTCCAATAGGTGCCGGTTCATATGTTTGCTGTACTGGCAAATTGCAGCCTGAAAATATTTATTACACACATTTTCAGTGGGTCCTCTATGATTTTACAATATTTGAAAACTTCAATGAGTCCTCAAACAGTGGTACTGCTATTTCCACATTTAGAAATTATATTATTAAACTGGATTGCATCAGAGCTGACAAAAATTCCAGTACTTTGCAATAATGTGAGAAGTTAACAATCATTAATTGCAACCTACCCTGCGCTGCAAATGGTTGAATTTTCTGGTTTGGACTTAACTTGGATCTTAAACACCTATTAGTGTTTAAGAGAAACAAGTTGGCCTGATCATACAGTTCACCATGTGGATGGTGGAGGTTTAATTTGTTACCACACTTTGAAGGCTTCCGTAAGGCTTCTGCTTAGTTAGAAGTTGCTTCTTAAGTCCTCTTGAATTTAATGCCTGTTACTACTTGCCAAATTTCCCAGTGAGATTTCCTCTGAATTTCTGGGAAAATGTCTGTTGTCTTTTGCTGCTTGCTGTGATGAACCCTTTCAAGACAGATCTATGTACTCCCAAACAGGCTTCAGGGAATGCTAATCTAGATCAAGGAGTCTTTTCTGTAGAAAACAGGCTTCGAAAATGGGTCTAAAAACATTAAAAGACTTTTACATTTAAGATATACGCCTTTTTATTGATCCATGTTATTTCTAGGAATAGTGATTAATTTTGTTAATTTTTTCACTGCAGGATATTTCAAAGTATTTTGAAAATTCAAATGTTACAAGAATTAGGTCAGATGTAGATAGTCAAGTTTAACCAAATTAACTGTCCCTTTTAAAACGCAGAAATTTTAATTTGATTTTGCCATGGATATTTACCTTCCAGTAAGGCACAGACGCCTTCATTCTCTTCTTATTTCCTCTCAGGTGTAATATAAATGCAATATTTATTACAAATGGTGTAAAGTTCTTCTCAAAAGATAAATATAAATACCAATTTATCAAGTGTAGTCTATAATAGGTTAACTAGTAGGTAATAATAGTTATTGCTGTTACATTAATTTGTGCCAGTGACAATGGGTGCCTAATACTCCCACATTATCTGCTTTAGAAGGAATGAATTGTGTGCCTTTCAAAGCTCTCAGGACTTGACCCACCATTGATTCTGAAAGCTGCAGCAAGCAGCAGCATAAAAACAAACAAGTTATCATTCACCCAAAATATAACTTGCATTCAAAAATCATCTTCCACATCCTCAAGAAACCCTAAAATACAGCTAGTCAAGTAGTTTTGCAGGGTTGTCACTGTAAGGATTTTTTTTAACAAAACCAATTTTTACACAAAGTTTGACAAACAGCAATGTGATAAATAAACAACAAATCTGTTTTTGACGTCTGAAGATTTTGTTTTTTGACCAGACACTGAAAGACAAGCCACCGACAAAGTGACATTCTCACAGCACTGCACTGATAGTCAGCCTAGGTGAAATGCTCGAGCTTTTGAACCTACACCAGTTTATTAAGAAGGTAGAGTGCTACCATGAATCAGAGTTCAGTGTAATCGGAGTGATTTTCATTCTATGAAACATTAACTGAAATATCTAACCATTCAGACTTGAAAATAACCATTGTAATCAGAGCTTCTGTTCCTTCCCAACTTTGTCAATCCAATTTTGCATTGCAGAGGTAATGTAAGACAGTAGTTGCCTTGTCAAACTCTCATTGCAATGTTGTACAATACAGCAAAGCACTTACATTGAGATTCTTGAAGTAGATTTAAAGAAGAACCAAGTTGGGTGATATTTCTTCCCTAATTAGAAAAACACCACTTAATCATACTGCCAGCAAAGTGAAGGATGGGCAAAATGGTGTTAAGATTAAATAAATTATTCTAATATATTCAGAATACAATTCATGTTAACAATCAAATTTAAAATTGTCAGTCAATCTTACAGGTTCCATTTCACTTCAAAGTATTGGTCTGTGTTGGTCTATGCCACACACTATCTTATGAAACTATGCAATGCACAGAGTGAGACAGTGGGAACATCAAGTACCAATCTTAAAATGCAAATTGACGGCCCATTTTTCAGTTATCCTTTCATGTTCTAGGTTGCTTGTGGGGACATTATATTAGCAACAATGTCACCATCATAGATAGCTAAGTGGAACCATACAGTTCCTTTAAAAGATTTCCTCACACAAGTACAAAATAAATGAAGTTAATGAAATGGATGTAAAAATATAACAAACTAAAAATATAACAAGAAACAAGCAAATGATAAGCTGCTTTGATGCAGTTCTTTCAATGTTTTTCATCAAAATGGAAACAACATTACTATAATTCAAACCAAACATCAAGCAATAATGCTTTTTTGTTTTTTTTTTCATTACTACACTCCTAAGTCAGTAATATACTAAATGGAACCAAACTCAACTCATTCAGGGCCAAGTAACCACAGAAGCTAAGGGGCCCCTGAGATCCTACAATTTTTGGCTGCCAGCCTAATGCATATGCTTAGTTTCCAATGTTACAGAAATATTCCAAATGTTCACGTGCAAACATCTGCAACAGTCTGATGTGATCCCTGCAATACATATACAGGTAACTACATATGTTTTTGTCCTCAAAAATAATCTGAAATCTGCTATTAGATGTTTAAACTTTTACTTGGAGAAGACTATAGGAGAAAATAATTCATGATAAAACAGCACATTTTCTTTTTTGAAAAGAAACCCTGGGGCAACTTTACCTCCAAGATTAATAACATTTGGAATACCACATGTAGTTCTGGTCACCATACTACCAGAAGGATGTGGATGCTTTGGAGAGGGTGCAGAGAAGGTTTACCAGGATGTTGCCTGGTCTGGAGGGATTTAGTTATGAGGTCGGATAAACTCCGATTGTTTTCACTGGAAAGACTGAGGCTGAGGGGTGACTGACAGACGTCTGCAAAATTACGAGGAGCATAGGAAGTCTTAGGCTTTTTCCCACGGTGGAAAGGTGAGACAGAAAGTTTAGGGGAGAAGTGCAGGGAAAATTTTTCATACAGAGGGTGATGGGTGCTGGAATGTACGCCCAGTGGAGGTGGTGGTAGCAGGCAAGTTAGCAACATTTAAGGCATATCTTGATGGACACACGAACAGGAGGTGAAAAGAGGGATAGAAACTGCACATGAGCAATGAGTAGCGGGCCTAAATAAGGATTAGAAATGGGCGCAGGCTTAGTGGCCTGAAGTGCCTGTTTGATTGCCTCAAAGTGCTTTATAGACAAAAAAAAAGCACTCCTGAAGTGGAGCCACTGCTGTAATATTTGAAACACAGCAGTCAATTTATGTACAGGAAGTTCACACAATACAGCAATATGTTAGTGACCAGATAATCTAGCTGTAATGTTGCTGAGGTTGCTACAATAACGCCCTGTTCTTCTTTGATGTAATGCCACGTTTCATAATCTCAAAGGGGGCTATTGGTGCCTCAATTTTAAACCTCACCCAAAAGACTATATTGGAGCTTTAGTCCAGATTGTGTGTTCAAGTCCAGGGCTGATTTATGGGCAGCGTACAAGATGATGCAGCAAGAAAACAAAATCAGAAAATGTTACCATTATAAAAAGCATTTCTCTGAAATTATTTGTAAAATTTTAAACTTAGTAAAACAGCAAATGAATAACAGGTTTTACCAAATTTCTGACCAAGGATAAAACAATCAAGTCTGTATTACTGACAGTAAAATGCTTCAGGTCAATTAACTACAAAATCTAATATTAATTTTGACATTGAATAGTATTGGGTCAACAAAATCTACCTGAGCAAATGAAATTAAAGTGAAAAGAAATTGCCAAAAACCAATCAGCAAATTTCATGCCAGTACATACTTGGATACCTTTGCATTCAAAAGTTAAAAAAACCATTAATTTAAACAATTGCTGTGTAATCTATAGCCTTTTTGACTTGGATGTTTCACAGATATTATATAGAAAGTCAAGAAGAAAAACTTGTATTTACATTGCAGCATACTAAAGGCAGCTTCAATGTCAGAACTTATTTTGAATTATATACTGTTCCAAAAATGTCATGGAATGTTTTACATCCACTTGAAGATGGCTGGATGACGGTTTCCTGTTAATAAAACATTAAACTCAGTTATAAAGCTGAACTATCCTCAACATGACACTGTTCTTCATGTTGATTAAATGGGGCTTTAACTATAATCTCTGACTCACAAAAATTAGATTCAATATTACAGGAAGGATTTAAAAAAATATTTCATGTTGGCTAATTTAATGCTCCATCTTTCATGGCATTGCTCATAGCAAGTCCTCGATCTAAAATGAGTGGTTTTTATTCCATCACTGACTTTTGTAAATCTCTCCTATCTGTTTCACTCACTTGATTTCTGTTTCTCTGTATCTATTTATGTCACTGCTTCCTGCCACAAAGTCCGTTTCCTCCATCTCTTATCTTCAATTTCATCTCCCCATCAATGTTCACCTGCCTGACAAATGCCTGTCAACCTCTCAGAGGGAATCATGGAACATGGTTAGAGGACTATGAATTATGCAGGAAGGATTGTCAGGTGATAGTCTCTGAAAATAAAATCTTCTTTTACACCAGTACAAGGTATTATTTGGTTGTTAAATTTTCCTGTCCAAACATGCTTGCTTGTACAAAGCCATTTTTTTGGGACGGAGATGTGCAAGCTAGATTTTTTTTAATTTGAAGGGACTAAAGTAAAACAGATCTTTCTGCCATTCCGTTTATGCAGGACGTCTATTATTATTATTGCAAGGGCGAATACTGCCTCAACTTTTTGATGTATTGAAAGGTTACCACAGGAAGCACCAAACACAGTTAGGGCTTGCTTTAAGCAAGGTTTTCTCTCAGACAGTTTTATTTGATAACCACCGTCAATGATTCAATTCTTATTCAATCCGTAGTTGCAAATAGGACTTTACATTTGCTGGATTCAATCTTTCACAACTCTCGATAGAAGAACTAGTGAACAACCCGGGGAAATGAGTGGATAGATGCTCGTCAGTTAAGGGGAAACGGGGTGTGATCATTAATGGATGCGCCGGATTTAATGCTAAAGACAGCTCGGGCCCCCAGGCGGATTGGGCCCAGACTCCTGTCCCCGGACCATGTCGCCTGAGGAGGCTCTGATCACAGCCTGTTGGACTGGAAGCCCACTGGAATGGGAGCCCTCCAGTTGTAGTACCACTCACCGTGCCTCCATCTTTAATGATGATCTTCTTGGCCAGCAGAATACTGCGGTGGAGCCGCTTCTTCTTCTTGCTGGGCATCATAACTCCAAACCAGATCCACACCGCGCCGCCATGGTGACAGCATTACCCCGCAACCGCACTGACGTCATCATATCGCACGATCCACCCATTGGTCCCTACGAAAGCATGTGATCATATAAGCCCGACCCTAAAGGGCCATGAGGTCAATAGAGGGGTTACTTGAATTTATTGACCGGGGGAAATCCTGGTTTTCATGCCTCCTCTTACACAGGCAGCATCGCTTTCGACATAAAGAGACCTATAATATTAGGCACCTAATTATGTTTTATTATGTTAAAGGGTCAGCACTCTAACTTGCCCTGGGACCTTTTTGAACTGCTGTAGGTCTTATAGTATATCTGCAGTGCTGTTAGGGAGCCAGTTCCAGGGTTTTGTCCCAGCAACAGTGCACGAATGGAGATGTAATTCCAAGTCAGCATTGCGAATCGTATTAGAGATAGTAGGAACTGCAGATGCTGGAGAATCCGAGACAACAAGGTGCAGAGCTGGATGAACACAGCAGGCCAAGCAGCATCAATAGGAGCAGAAAGGCTCAAGGGTCAAGGCCCGAAACGTCAGCCTTTCTGCTGCTTGGCCTGCTGTGTTCATCCAGCTCTGCACCTTGTTGTTGTGAATCGTATTGTCATCTAAGATTAAGATGAAGAGGAATTTCTTCATTCAGAGGGTGGAGAACCTGAGGAATTCTCTGCCCTAGGCAGTTGTGGAAGCTCAAGTACTGAGCATGTTCAAGATTGAGATCAATAGATTACTACATGTCAAAAACATCCAGGATATATAAGGATATTGCAGGAAAATGGTGCTGTACTTGCTGAACGGTGGAACAGGTTTGAAGGACTGAGTGGCCTACACCTGCAAACAAAATCAGAAGTCGCTGGAAAAACTCAGAAGGTCAGGTAGCATCTGTGGAGAGAAGCAGAGTTAACATTTCAGGTCCAGCGGTCCCTCTGCAGGCCCTTCTTCTACTCCTCTTATTTTTAATATTTTTACACTTATTGTGAGGGAGAGCGCTTTTCAAAGTCAAACACAACGGCACCAATGGTCCAAAACGAGCCCGCATTTTCTAACTGATTTGGATGTTCTGGCTGAGCAAGTTCAATACAAAGTGCCATTTGATATTTATTGAGGCTTTTTTGAGGATATGACTAGTAGGACAGATACACCAGTAGATGTGACTTAGCTGTATTTCCAAAAAGCATTTAAAAAACTGCCACACATCAGGTAATAATATATACAAGTTAAGAGCTCATCGAGTTGCTAGTGATATATTAGAATGGATCGAGGATGAGTTAATATATAGGAAGCAGACAGCAAGGACAAATTAGGTATTTTCAAGTTGGCAGGCAGACTTGTGTAGTGCTACAAGGATCAATGCTGATGCCTCAACTACTTATAATTTATATTAAATTTAGACAACAGTAAGCCATGAGGAAAACACAGAGGCTGCAAAGAGATATAGATACAGGTTAAGTGAATGGGAAACGGTATGGCAGATTCAATATAATGTGGGAAAGTGTGAGATAATTCACTTTGGTTGAAAATGGATAAGTAGAATATTTTTCCAAAGGTATGAAACTTGTAAAAGTTGATGGAAGACACTAAAAAAATCAAAAAATGTTAGTATACAGTTACAGCAAACAGTTGGAAAATGGCATGTTGGCATTTATTGCAAATTAATTAGAGTACAAAGAAATAAATAAGTCTTGTTACAATTGTATAGGACTTTGGTGATTTCTTACCTGCGTATAGTTTTCATACATAAGGAAGGAGGCAATAGATTAAACATTGACTAGATTGGTGTTGAGGATTAGAGTTGATTTTTGAGGAGAGGTTGAGTAAATTGGATCTCTGTTCTCTGGAATTTAGAGAAATGAGATGTAATCTCCTTTAAACATATATGATCCTTAAATAGCTTGATATTGAGTAGTCCCTCCTACCCGGGGAATCTAAAACGTGGCCATAGCTTTAATTACAAAGAGTGAATCATTTGTCCACAGATGGGGAGAAATTTCGTTACTCAAAGGGCTGTCAATCTGTGGAATTATATAGTCCACAGAGTTGTGGAAGCTTCATAATTGTGTATTTAAGGCTGAGATAGACAGACATTTTGGTGTTTCAGGGAATCAAGGGGTGTGGAAATATCAAAATATATATTAATGATTTGGATGAGGGAACAAAATGTAACGTCTCAAAGTCTGCAGATGACGATACCAAGTTGAGTGGGAGGATGAACTGAGACGAGGATGCAGAGAACCTTCAGGGTGATGTTGGGTCAGTGGGCAAATGAACGGCAGATGCAGTATAATTTAGATAAATGTGAGGTTATTCACTTTGGACGCAAAACAAGAAGGCAGATTACTATCTGAATGGCTGTAAATTGGGAGAAGGGAGTGTGCAGCGGAACCTCGGCATCCTTGTGCACAAGTTGCTGAAGTTAAGCGTGCAGGTGCAGCAGGCGATAAAGAAGGCAAATGGTCTGTTGACCTTCATTGCGAGAGGTTTCGAGTACCGGTGCAGTTTTTGCTGGAGTTCAGATGAATGAGGGGGGGATCTCATACAGACGTATAAAATTCTAACAGGACTAGACAGGGTAGATGCAGCGAGTATGTTCCTGATGGTGAGTGTGTCCAAAACGAGGGTCACAGTCTGAGAATTCAAGGTAGACCATTTAGAATGGAGATGAGGAGACATTCCTTCATCCAAAGAGTGGTGCAACCTGTGGAATTCATTACCACAAGAAGTAGTTGATGGCAAACATTGAACGTATTCAAAAGGTGACTAGATAAAGCACTTGGAGGCAAATGGGATCAAAGGTTATGGGGAGAAAGCAAGATTAGGCTATTGAGTTAGACGATCAGCCATGATCGTGATGAATGGCGGAGCAGGCTTGAAGGGCCAAATGCCCTCCTCCTGCTCCTATCTTCTATATTTCTATGGTCAGAGAAGTGGAGTTGAAGCCCACAGTAAGTCATAATCATATTGAATGGTGGAGCAGGCTCAACAAGCCGTATTGCCATCTCGTGCTCCTATTTCTTAGACTCCTATAATGTGTGGTGAGGAGAGTGACAATGATGGGACTGCCAGCAAGAAGAGAAGAGGAAGGCCTAAGAGCAGATGGAAAGATACAGTGGTAATTGGAAAAAGAAGTGACCAACAGGAGGAGTTGGAGAAGAGTGATCAATTCCAGAAAACTGCAATATGTGGTCAATCTGTTATACAGTATTTAATCTAAAACATGGCCATAGTTTTAATTACAAGGAGCCAATCATTTTGTACTCAAATCGGGAGAAACTTCTGTACGCAAAGGGTTGTCAATCCGTGGAATGATGTAGTCCATAGAGCTGTGCATGTTTCAATAATGAATTAGTCGTAACCATGAAACTAAGGCAGACCCAACTGCAACATACACATCCGCACGCTGGCTTTTGTCTTACAATTTCACCAAATGTGCAAAGCAAGTTAAACTACAAATTGATGGCACGCATCCAATGATTATTTTTATTTACTCATCAAAAGTGCAATTAACAACATCTAGATTGACAGTTAACCACATGTGGCTACCAATGTACCCTTTAAATTTTCATTGTATTACATGAGGTACAAACTCCTCCGAGTTGTCCTTGGATAGCCCACATTTGAAAACAGTCACTGAACTCTTATGAAGTTGTGGACAGCCAGTTTATATTCAATACGAGATAAGTTTCAGACTGCTGCACCATTCCATATTCATTTCCTAGAATTCACTATGTTGCCTGAGATTTCATTTAACAGCTATTACAGCAGTGCTTAACTTTGTAAAATTCTAGCACGTAAAAGCAAAGGGAAGAATTACAAAAGACACAGAGGTCATGATGCCCATTGACGTCGCATCAATAATTACCTAGTACTAAATGCATCTTATTATCAATGTGTTGTTTTTGAAAATAATAAGCATTTGTCTTTAGAAAAAAATTAAACTAACCCTCAGATGAGGGCAGGCAAGGGTACAATGATTATCCAAAGTCACGAGTGGCTGTCCCATGGCTGCTGGTCAAAAGCGTTCAGAAAATTGACTGACACGGTTAAAGCTATCTGCCCCTAGAAATATGATACGGCAATAAGTGCCAGGCTCAGAGAGGGGTCCTCAGGACAGGATGCACTGGCCCGCAGGGGCTAGGCCAATTCAGTGTTGGAATAAGCGTGCTGGGGCCAAGTTAGAGAAGCCACATGCATGCCGTAAAAGCTGCACAGGGGCCAAGAGAATTCAGGGGCCAGATTTCACCCTGAAATAACTGCACCAGGGCTAGGTCAAATCCATGCAGGAGGTTCAAGCAGAGTCCGAGAACAGAGTAGACGTGGGGCAGAGGGCACAGGGCAGATTTCAACAAGTAGACCTTGTAGGCAGCAGTGCTCATTGAGAATCCATTAAACCTTAAATGGAACATTGTTGGCTACTGGCTAATGTATCGATCAATACTGCTGCTTGAGTTGAATGCAGAAGTTGAAGTGATTTAATCAATGGGAAGTCAGACGTACGGGAACACATACCAATACAATACAACTCAATTCAACAATTATATAAATGTATTAATTTTAGCAATTATTACAAAATGATCTCTACATAGTGTTTGCATGGCATGACGAAATATCTATCAAACCAAATATTTTGGGTTAATTATTGGAATAATTTTATCCATTATCAAATCTGAAGTCACAATAGGCACTTTTTTAAAATCATTCATTAAATTTTTTTATTGACTTACAAGGAATTCCACCTAATATTCACTCTAATTGGTAAATTAATATAGTATAATAGAAATTACAGCACTGAAAGAGGTCATTTGGGTCATCACACTAATATCTACAATGATTCTTGCACTACAGCCATCTTCTTTAATCTAATTTCCCCATTCTACTGGCCAGGAATCTCAATAGTTAGAGATTTATTCTCTGTTATTCATAGTCCCAGTGATTTTCCTGCCATTTGCTATCACACTGTTACCGTACCAGCAATCACTTCTTGTTCATTCAACTGGAAAAAGTCTTTTAAGTTTTCTTTAAGAACACTTATGAGTTGGC